AATATTCAAGTGGAAAGTTTTCAGTGATAACAGGATGGGAAATCAAGGAAACCAATTGCGTTCTGACTGAGATATTTCCTTTTACGGTGAATCTGAAGGGATCAGTATTGAATCATGTAAAAGCTGGAATAATTTGGTAGCTTAATCAGATGAGCACGGAGATCTCAAATACTATTCTGATAAAGGGAAGTGATGAACAGCAAGCGAATGAAGTGAAAGAAAGGTAGAAAATACATAGGTAAAAAAGTGACATCTTAACCATCTGAAAATTAACCAGTGATATCTGAGAAATATCCAAAACAAAATCTATCTCAATTTAGGCAATTCGTTGGTAAATTTGGGCCTACATGTTACAAATAACAGCGTGAGTCCAGCATTGGAACAGTGTTGGTCGAGTAAGATAAATTAATCAACTACCTTCGCTTTCAACCATTATTGACAGAAAGTTTCCCTAATTTGAAAACACATGTACTTGACTTAACGTTTAAATATGTTGTCAATATTTTAGCGTTTAAAAAAAAGAAACTTTGGTTGTACTGACCCTGGGCTAAATATTTTACCTACTGGCCCCACCAGATTCGGTCAATGAGCATTTTATCATATGACCACTAACTGTTGAAAAATTCAACCTAAATGGGACGCGATATACGGGCATACAGGCACACAAAAAATATGCCATTTAAAACTCTTCCTTTTTATTTCGATAAGCCCAGAGGGGGAAAAGGGAATAACCTAAACACAAGTGATCTGGATATGTAAAACACTGTGACAGCAGAAGTTCGGAAAGTTGGGAAAAGTGATTCATTAATGTTTTTTGTTTTATTTTGAAAGAATCAGCCATATTGTCAACATCTTGGTAAGTGCGATTGAAAATCTTTTCTAGTCACTCACTAGTTGTTAAGTGACTGTAGAGAGTTGAGGCTCTTATGGCAAAGCCCAGTAACCGCTTTTTGATCTTTATGTTTGCAATATGCCACGTTTCGAGCGTTAGCCCTTCGTTAGAGCGATTGATGGCGCGATTGGATCATCACCACAGTGAGATATATTTGTTCTACGGCGACTTTTTCAAATCTCTGTGGCTTTATACCGCACAATTTATCCCCATTAATTAAAATAAGATTATTGAGTATCGTTCAATTTGATGATCATAAATCTAAATTCAAACCTCTATTTGTGGTGTAG